GGTTGTTGGTCACTGTGGCTGTTGGTCACTGGTTGTTGGTCACTGTGGCTGTTGGTCACTGGTTGTTGGTCACTGGTTGTTGGTCACTCCGGCTGTTGGTCACTCCGGCTGTTGGTCACACGTGAGTGACCGTGGTTCACAGGTCACTGTTGGTCACTGTTGGTCACCGTGGGTCACTCTGGCCGTTGGTCACTCACGGCTGTGGTCACCCGTGTTGGGGTCACGCGTCCGGCTGTGTCCGGCTGTGTCCGGCTGTGTCCGTCAGTGTCCGGCTGTGTCTGTCAGTGTCCGGCTGTGTCCGTCAGTGTCCGGTTGTGTCCGGTTGTGTCCTGGCGTTGTCTCCGCCCCCTTCCCGCTCCCCGTGGGCGTCGCGGGGTCCCCTTGGCCCCGCCCCCAACCGTGACGTCATGGGAACTCCCCGAAAAACCCCTCCGGCCGTGACGTCACAGCTGAGGGGGCGTGGCCAAGGCCCCTCCCCCCAGTGCCTCCCAAATGTCCCCAAATTGTCCCCAAATGTCCCCAAATGTCCCCAAATGTCCCCAAATCCCCCCCAGCCCCGCACGGGGCGTGGCTCCGCCTTGCCCCGCCCTCCTCTCTCCTCATTGGCCAGCACCAGGCTGAGCCCTCTCCCCATTGGTCGTCCTCAGGCTGAGCCAGAACCGGAAGGGAGCGATGATTGGCTGCCAGGCGAGAGGCGCGCTGTGATTGGTCGGTTCCTGGAGAGCGTCGCGGCATCGGTGAGAGAAGGGGCGGGGCCTGCGGGGTGAGGGGGAACCGCCCACTTCCGCATCACGTGATGTGCGGGGGGCGGAGCTTCAGAACCGGCCCTAAAAATGGCCCAAAATGGCCCAAAATGGCCCAAAAATGGCCCAAAATGGCCTAAAAATGGCCCTGGTGGCGAGTGGGGGGGCTTGGGGGGGTCTGTGGGGCTGGGTTTGGGGTCTGTGGGGCTGTGGGGCAGAGGAGGATCTGTGGGGCAGGGATGGGATCCATGGGGCAGGGATGGGATCTATGGGGCAGGGATGGGATCTATGGGGAGGTCGGGATCTATGGGGCAGGGATGGGATCCATGGGGCAGGGATGGATCTGTGGGGCACGGGGATGGATCTATGGGGCAGGTCGGGATCTATGGGGCAGGCTCAGCCCCCCGTGTGCCCCCCAGGCCGATGCATCGCGCCGTGGAGCCCCTGGGGGGCCGGGCCGGACGCGACCCCTTCGCCGTGGGGAGCCTGGGCTGCGGCGGGGGCTGGGCCGGCTGCCCCCCCCCACGGGCCTGGCTGCCGCCCCCCAGGTACCCCCAGTGACCCTGAGTGACCCCTGAGTGACCCCTGAGTGACCCTGAGTGACCCCTGAGTGACCCCCAAGGGTTTCGGGGGTCTCACCCCCAATTTTAGGGGGGATTTCCCCATTTTTTGGGGGGATTTCCCCATTTTTGGGGTCTCCCATTTTTTGGGGGGATTTCCCCATTTTTGGGGGTCTCTCCCATTTTTGGGGGGGGTCTCACACCCCTCCCCCCCCCCCCCGGGCCCCTCCCGCCCCCCCGC